CAAAATTTCATTGCATTCTACATGTTACACAGCTATATTGCTCTATTGCTGGAAACTCAAAGTGGAGCAGGAAGGCTACAAACAGATTATCACATGGGAGAAAATCACAGAACTATAGTGTATATTTGATGGCCTTAAGGAGCATTTCTTTATTCTTAACTTATGAATATTTTTTTTGTTTTGTGCATGTTCACACTTGCACAGAGAAGAAGGGGGGAAAAAGAGAGGGAGAGAAACCTTCTTTCTTCTGTACAGTCACCAGCAAGGAGAGTATATGCTGTCCTTATATAGTACATAACAATATTAATTTGTCAATTGGTTTTCTCACTTTCAGAGTATATGAAAGTGTTCTAAATGACCTACAAGAGTCACTGAGTGGAGAGCTGGCAGATTGCCTATGTTTCTTTCATCATTTCTGGACAGTTTCTGTAACTTTATGAAGTTATAACCATTGCAACTCTTTCAGTTCTTGTGATGTCCATTTTGTTCTTCTTGGACAGCTCTGAGGAGAATCTACATTCTTTGCCAGCACATGAAATGAAAGTGCAGGAATGACAGGTAGTAAAAGTGAGTCTGATATGTCATCCAGCATCCCATTGAGAGCAAAACTATCAAGTGACTGAAATACTGTTTCGGGAAGGGAGCTTTTCTGCAATCAAATGCAAATAAATATGTCATATCACATGTGAAATACCTTCAAAAGAAGTCAGCCGAAGCTTCCAAAGGGACCTCCTTTACATTTACCCTGGGGTTTGAATATTCACATGCTTTATGCTGTGACAGTGTGTGCTGTCAACACAATCAGCTGCTGAGAAATTCAGGAAAAACCATAAAGAGATGTTCTTTTAAACAAGTACAACTTGGAAGTGGCTGATGACATCAAAGGAGGAAATGACATGTTTACTAACAAGGGTACAGGAGACTGCTGTGACCAATTCTATACTAGTCAAATCCAGTTAGACTTAGTACCTGATTCTGGAAACTGGCAGTTCATTATTTCTACAGACTTCCAGATATTATCAAACTTCAAGCAGATCTAGCTAGTATAGCTAATGCCAAAGAATGCTAGGATCACAGTTGTAGAATATTTGGAAAGCCACATGAATCCAATGTCTGACTTAAGGCCTGTCTACAATGTCCTCAAACCCCGGGTTTAATCAGAATTTCCTCCTGGAAATCCAAACAAAGTCCACAGACTTCCAATTTGTAACACGGGGTAAAATTGGTTAACTCAGTTTTACCTTGTGTTATGTGAAGTAGATGAATGCTCTGGAGTTTCAGCAAAACATCAAAATGGCTCTGCACTTGAAAGTATGGACCTCATCATATGGATGAGTTCCAGCTCTGTGATTCACCAGCCTCCACAGCAAATCATGGTGGCAGTGGAGCAGCAGCAAGGCAATCCCAGTGCCCAGCTACCAGCTGATGCTGCCCCATCCCACATGGAGAAGTGTCACTGCTGCACCAAAGCTCTGTTGTTCCTTATGGAACATGAGGGGCCTTTGTGTTGGTGGTGGCAGCATCCCACCATGCTGCCTTGCCAGTTTGCACATGGAGCCCCACCAGAACTCACCAAATGTCATTTGATGGGCAGCAAGGAACCCCATGGGTGAACTGGGACAGAAGCATTCTAGGAAGCTTCAGTTACTCCATGTGATGAGCCCCTCGGTGTAGGTAGCTGGGTTGGCTCTAATCTGAACTGGTTCATTATCCACATGGCCTGCTGCTGCCATTCCTCTTTCCCTGTACTCTGTGGGGATAATTTGGGTCCATGTTATTCTTCTGTCACTCCTCACCGCTCCATGGCAATCTGGCAACAGTGATAGAGGACCACCAAGGTAAGGTGACAATCCAGCAAGGCTGTACCAGTTTCAACTCCACAGAACAGAAAGGACCCCCCCCCCCCCACACACACACACACAGACACTGTGGGATGGAAATGTGCAGAACGGCTACTCTCAGGCCTAGTCCAGGACTGACCTTGGATTAAGTGGAAATTATAGATGTGCCTTCAGAAGATGGATACATTGCCTAAAAAGATATTTTCCCCAATAATGAAATATCTGGGATAAGATTATTCCTAGTCCATCCACTGGATCCATATCTGAAATTATTCTGACTGCAAGTATATTAACAAAATCCTATAGATGGATTAATTGAAGAGAGAGAGAGAGAGAAATTACTGTTTACAGTTTTATCTGTTCAGGCCCAATACTTGGAATAATGACAGAAAGAAAATTTGTTGGATTTGATGTTTTTGATAATAATAATCATCATCATCATCATCATTTAATTACTTATTAATCGCCCTCCATCCAAGATGCTCTAGGCGATTTACAAGCTAAATTGTAAAGGATAAAAATACATACATACAGATATTGATAAAATTAACATAGATAAAAAGCTCTAGTAAAAAGCCAGGTCTTAAGTGCTAGAGTAAAAGGCCCCAACTCACGCATGGCTCTCATATAGGGCAGCAAGGTCCATTGCCACTATATAGGAGGATGACATCCAGGGTAAATTCTTTCACTGAAAGCTACCGTTTTCAGATCACTCAGTCTTCCTCTTACAATGATCTTCAACTTTTCTGGATTCAAAACAATCCAATATTATATATCAGCATAACAACTGTATCTGATTATTCAGCATTATTACATGACTTGGGACATGTAGTCACTTGGACAAATGATTCGTTTCATCATGGCTGTTGAGTTTTCCTTTCATCGAATTAACTCTTCTTTATAGAACTGACCACAGTTGCCAATATGATGCTGTTGATAACATCTTTCTTCTGGCTCTCTGTTCTCAATGCAACTGTGACATTATGCTGATGAAGGTATTAAAGTCAGAGCTGGAGTTGTTAAGGTATAATTGTGTTTTGCATTCATAATTCAAGAACATTGTCAATGGAATAAAAAATAGGCACAACAACAGGCACCTTTTTTAAGCCACTGGGAGTAATTGAAGGATACTTTCAGATCCTAAACAGCATGGCTATACTGTTACCAAAAGTTTAATATTATTTTACACTAAATTAGACACATTGTCAAATAGAACTCATGGGGGTTGGAACCTGTAACTTAAATAGAGTCAATGTACTCAATATCAGAGCTGTAAAGTGTTCTGAAAAAATATATGAAGTTCAAAATAGCAGAGCCTGAAATATTTGTGTACATGGTGCCAGAGGCAATCCTCTATTCTGCAAAATGCAAATACTTTGCTAGACAAGAACCTAATCGAAAAACATACCTACAAAAATTTAGTGGCAGCTATTGAGCCTGTTTTAGGAGTGGGTTTTTGGCAATTTGGATAGCTCTTTTAAATTTAAAATTAAAATCTAAAATGGATTCAGAACACCACTCATATAGGCACTGCCACTACTGAAAGTATGGATCCAACCCAGTCTGTTTTAAGAGAAAGGCATTGGTAAAAAAGTAGTTGACATTGTTGTCTTTATTACTCTCACATATGATTGCTCAATGCTCACTAATGCTTCTTAGGGCATCCTCAGCTTCATGCAGCCACCTTTTGTCCTAGAAAAATAGTCTAGAGGAAATGGAAGACCAAAGAAGTAAGAAACCATGCATTGCTTCCTGAATGCAAAAGATGGCCCTGGAAATACAGGTTCTTCAGTCATTTCTCTGAAAAGACTACATATTAGGCTTAGGCTATAGCAATCCCCAACAAGAGCATTTTGTGATTCATTCTCCTACAGGAATTAGACAAAATAATAAATCCATCCTTTTCCATTGAAGGATTGAGATATCGGGTACATCCTCCTTTAAGCACATACTGAGGTGGGAAAACAGCTTTACTGAAGAAATGTCCCTATGTAATCAATGGTAAGACAGATTTCATAGCTATTGTAAATTGAAATAATCTTTTGCCAGGACTCCTTAAATCTTTCGAAACAGCTCCATGGAAGGAATGATTAACTGCTCCTGAAAAGTACTAATTAACTATTAGTTTGGTGTCTTGTTCCAATTCCCTTTCCTGTTCCAGCATTCATTAGGAAGAGTTATGCAAAACAGAAACTTCACATTGATTTTGTGAGCCCAAGGTATTTGTCACTGACCAAAAACCAGGAACTGCACACAGAGCTGAGATGCAATTATGGAGGTAATATCTCAGCATTTTTCTCAAAAATATTCTGCAGATAACTTCAGTCAGCACTCTATTTCAGATGAAGTTTGTGTTCCTTTGTAAGAATGAACAATATAACCAAGATCTCTATATGTTTCAGATTATGTTGTTAGCTTGGGAATTACTTTGGAGATATGCACTATATTCCAAAACATAATTGCAATTCAAGCTGTGCAGTAAAAACGATTGTCCTCTCAGAGAGGGGATTGGCTAGGGAAGACTATTGAGAGAGGGCTCCACAGTTCCTCATTCCAGCAATTTCTCACTTCCCTTCCTCTGCTATCTAATCTGTCTTGAATGTTTAAATGGATCTGAAAAAATGGAGCAGCATTTCCCAGCACACATGTGGTATTATTATCACCTGGTCAAGACTTTGCTGATAGCATCATCTTGATGAAATGTCTTCAAGCACTTTCATTTCAGATGGGATCTGCGCCTGGAAATAAGTTGGGTTTAATGGCTGGGGTCCAGTAATTCACTTAGCTGTTTACTTAAAACATACTTCAGCAGTTTGTATGTACAGAGCTGCATCTAGCCATGAAATGAAATGGGAAAACTCTTATTTATTGCCAGAACTGATCTTGCATGTTAATGCTGAGACAACTTCTTATAGTGGCTAGGTAGTTTAGGGGAGACAGTTCTCAAATGCTATCTCACTTTCCATACTCAATTGTTGTTTGAATGCTCTGTCTCATAACAATGTTGGTAGCATAGACTTCCTTTTGCTTTCCATTATTCTGCAACATCTACGCCTTCTCTGCCACCATGAGCTGGACATTTAATACAAAAAGAAGGGGTAAAGCACAATCCATGAAATGACCACATACCACAGAATCATCTTTTGTGACTACTTCTTCTTTAAAAAGTCTCAAAGATCTTTGAATTATGTCTAATAAGACAGAAGTTTTTACCACATTTTTCTCTCCTCCATTTCAGTCTCAAGAGACTTTTTCAGACATCTTAAGTTAGCTGAACCGAGTCCCTTGGGGAGATGGTAGCGTGGTACAAATAAAGTATTATTATTATTATTATTATTATTATTATTATTATTATTATTAGCGTGTCAAGCTCATTTTCACTGAGGGCCACATCAGCCTTATGGTGGCTTTCAAATGGCTGTTTGTAATTGGAGCACAGTGTAAATGTAATTATGTTACCCTGGCATTGAAGGCCTCATGGGCCACATAAAGTGACATGGTGGGCCAGATTCAGTCTGTATTTGACACATGTGAATTAAATAAACAGGAAACTACTTCCAGATACTTAATGTTATTTTTTTTAAAAGTCTCTCTTTGATCTAAAATAGTCTGGGGGGGGCAGAAACATGGCAGAAAAAACATGCCTCCTAGAACAGTATCCTGCCCCCCAAAATAAGATTGCTTTGTGTATAGGAGGGCAGTGCAGGGTGGCAGGATGCCTGCCATAGATGCAGATGAAACGTCTGGAGATAATGCTTCTAGAACATGGCCATACAGCCCGACAATCCAGTTATTCCGGCCATGAAGCTTTCGACAATACATTAAACGAATAAATATTCTCCAACAATTTTCAGATGAAATCTGGGACATGTGTGCTGAAATAACAACAGAGTGTGATTTAGATTGTAAAAGTTATCAATGAGAAATAACACACAAGCAAGAAAATACTGCCACAGTTTGCTTTTGCCATGCCCTAAATGTACCAGATGCTATCTGATCTTGGATGCTAAGCAAGGTCAACTCTGGTTAATACTTGATGTGATATGACCATTGAATACCAGGTGATGTAGGTTATATTTCAAAGGAAGGAACTGGCAAAACAACCTCCAATGATTCCTTGTTCAAGAAAACTCTACAGAATTCATGGAATCACCATAAACAGTTCTGGCCCAATTTACCTGTCTGAACGAATCTCCTCTTATGAACCTTCGAGGACTTTAAGATCGTCTGGAGAGGCCCTGCTCTTGGTTCCGCCATAAGCATGGCTGGCGGGGACGGGAAACAGGGCTTTCTCAGTGGTGGCGCCTCGGCTATGGAACACCCTTCCTAGGGAGATCAGATTGGCTTCTTTGCTTCTAGCATTCTGGAAGAAACTTAAGACATGGCTATTCGAGCAGGCATTTGCGAATACTGAGTAACGGACATAAGAATGGAACAACTACATGATGGGACTGGGCATTGTTTTAATGAGTATTTATTGAATTATGTTTTATTACAGTGTTATGATTTCATTGATGTTAACATTTTTATATTGTAATTGTGTTTTTGGTGGCATTGAATTTTGCCTTATAAACCGCCTCGAGTCGCTGGAAGGCTGAAAGGGGTGGTATATAAATATAGTAAATAAATAAATAAAATAAGTCAGCAGGTGTCATGAAAGTACACATACATTGGGAAGGGAAAGATTCCCCTTCATTCTTCCCTGGGCCCTTCCAGACAGGCCCTATATCCCAGGATCTGATCCCATGTTTTCTGATTTAAACTGGATCATATGAGTCTGCACTGCCAGACAATCTGGGATAAACATAAAACCTGGGATCAGACCCTGGGATAAAAGGACTGTCTGGAAGGGCTCCCTCTCTTCCCAGCTAAGTTTGCCAAGTACAAAAACTTCTTTTGAATATTTAAATCAGTTTGCAGCAATTGAAAAAAGCCAGGAGGAGGTGGAAGAGTTGGAAAAGACAGAGAAAATGAGACATTTTTAAATCAGCTGAAAGGGTGAGGTGACAGAGGATTAGCTTTCCCTCCCAAATCTGGACAGATTGAGAGTATGCTAACCTTCCCCGGTTTCCTACCACTGTAATACAAAGACTTTTATTTGTGTAGTATATGTGTTGGCTGTTGACTTATGGAAACCTTGTGAAATTTTCTTGTTTTTCTTAAGCAAGAAATACTCAAAAGGTGGTTGGGCAAGTTCCTTTCTCAGAAATATAGCCTGCAGAACTTGGTATTCATTTGTGGTCTCCTAGACAATTACTAATCATGGCTAATCCTGCTTAGTTTCCTACATAGTATATTTGTCAACAACAATGCTAGTTTTGGGCTTTATTCTGATGCCCTCACACTTTCCAAAATCCATGCATCCAGGGTTATTTCACCATGGTTTCTTGGTGGAAAAGAATTTCCCCATGACACAAAAGTTTCAAAGTATCCATAATGATGGCTTTATCTATAACCAGCTTCCTGTTATAGATCACATTAAAATATTAATCAATCTCAGATGTGGAGGGGACTTAGGAAAGGAAAATATGCCACTGCCTCCCTTACAACCAGCATTAAAAGATAACTGAAGTTCATTCTGTCCCAAGTATGAAGAAATATGTTTGGGGTGGGTTTTTTTAAAAAAAATTCTCAACAAAACCAAGCTGAAATGAAGCCTTCCTCCACTGCCGTATCCACCTTCAATAGATACTACTATTCTCACCTTGGAGACAGCAATGTTAAATGTGCTTGCTATAGAAATGTTAAAGGTGAAGTGTTCCTGAGTAAAATAAAGAGATGAAAACACTTATTCAGCACAAACAAGGTTGAACACACAGCCATTCCAAGGCAGACCTTTAAAAGTTAAGCACTTAGATTCTTTCTGGCTGGATCAACCAATGTGTCAGTTTCAATTTCTTCTATATTCAATTTTTCCCAAAGTTTCAAGTTCTTACTGTTCCCAACATAAAGGAAAATGCCAATGTTAGTAAATACTTGTCAAATCCAAACTGAAACAAAACTTTCTACTTTGCTTAACAATGTAAGTGGTGTAAATTCTTCTAGAGATACAAGGGTATAAATCAATAAAGTAAGCATATTAGTGCCTTAAAAAGTTTGGAGCAAAAGGAACATCTTCCTAAAGTGAAGGATCCCAGGTTTGCTAGTACTGTTCTCTTTCTTCCCTTTTCAGCACCTCTCCTAGTCACAGCAGGAAATATTTAAGGACATAATGAAAAGACAAACAGACAAACTGGCAGATGTGAGACATGTCCTTAGAGAAGACATTTCTTGCCATTCCCTGTGGATTTATTCTTCCTGTTGGATGTCATTTTCAGACATTGTCTCATCAGTAGCTATTCCAGAGTGACAAGTCCCTTCATGTCCACCTCATTGTGAATTTCCCACATGAATGTCTTTACTATCTGCTTACATCCTGCTGTTGGTAAAAAAAATGCAAACAATTTTACTGCCTCATAAATACCGGAATCTCAATATTTATGCTGAAATTGTTTTTGACCATGAGCCAGGCAGACTGAAGATGCCTCAAATTTCTTGTGTTGGCTTGTTTTCTTTCCTTTGAGAAGACACAAGCTGAGATCAAAGCTAGAGGACTAAAGTATCGTCGTTTTTTTTCTTGGAAACCCCATGAAATGATGGATATCTACAAGATTAAGCGAACCGCTGTGATCACATATCTTTCTAAATCCCACTGAAATGTTGAGCTATGATGATGTTGCATACATATATCTCACAACCTGTTGATCCACTGTTTACTGGGAGGCTTAGTATATGCAAATGTAAAAGTTGCTATCATTTGCAAGGTAATTATTCTTCTCCCTGTAATAGTTTTGCCTCTAAACTATTCTCAGTGAATGCTTTTGTGCCTGTATCACAAAGTCAGCTAGCAAAAAATCCCAAGACAAAGTAAGGGAGGGGGGTATATGTGGCAGTACTTGCTGTTTTTCCTATTGGGGAAAGTGTTTGTCATTACCATGCTGCTTTTTCTGTATTCATGAAACATCAGAAAGGTAGGTCACAGCTTTAGTATTACAAGCCGCCACAATCTCCCTTCTACCATCAAAAAATGAGCCAGGTTCCATATTCCATCTGTTTTTTATGGGCCACATCATACACCGCTCATTATATTTGTTTCTGGTGTGACTTGCCAGCATATCTTTTGAAATAGATATTGTCTACATGATCTTACTATGGTATCTTTAAGCAGTGTTGATTGGGGGGGAGGGGGAGAAACACAGCTCTTGCCATCAGGAAGTTTTGCCTAATGTTTAGGTGGAATCTTTATCCTGCAATTGCTCCATATCCTAGGGACCTTCCACACAGCCCTATATCCCAGAATATCAAGGCAGAAAATCCCACATTATCTCAGTGTGGACCTTAGTCCTTAGTGTGGACCTTAGATAATTCATTCCAAAGCAAATATTGTGGGGTTTTCTGCCTTGATATTCTGAGATATAAGGCTGTGTGGAAGGGCCCCTAGTCTCCAGAACAATGGAAGGCAAGCTTGCACCTCTCCTCAATGTGATATCCTTTCAAATATTTAAACATGGCTATCATGTTCCCTCTTATCCTTCTTTTCTCCAAGCTTAACATATCCCTCAGCTGTTCCTCATAGGGCTTGGCTTCCAAACTGTTGATCATTTTGATTACCCTTTACTGGGTATGTTCCGACTTGTCCATATCCTTCTTGAATTGTGATGCCCAGAACTGGACACAGGTATTCCAGATGAGATCCAGCCAAATTAGAACAGAGTGACACTATGACTTCACTAGATCTCAACACATATCTTAACAGTCTAATTTAGAAATGACACAGGAAAAGGTGATGGCCAAAGTCCAGCAGATGCTGCCTCTTCTTCTCCCTCAGAAGCCACAGCATAGAAGAGTCATTCATTCATGAATCAATGGAATCATTAAAGCAAAGAGAAAATAACTTCTGTAAAAGGCAAACCTCATCTTGTCAAATCAATTCTTCAAGCATAAAATAAAAAAATGAATCAAAACTTGAAAAGTGTTAAAGAAATAAACTACAGGCTCTGTTGCCTTCCTTGAGCAAAGAGGCACAAAATTATAACATTCCCTCCTCCCCATGAGATTCTTAATGAGATGACATTAATCAAATTTCCTGGAATGCCTAAGAAAATATTTCCTTTTTTCCCTCTACACCCCTTTGGAGATTTTGTTTTTCTTTGTTTTTGCATGAAATCAGAATGTGTAACTGAAATAAATATTCCCTATGAGTGAAAGAGCCAGCTGGACTAGCTCTCTCCCTTGCTCTCTTTTTCAGGCTCAAGCTGTTTAAGGATATAAAGAGCAAACATGACTGAGGTTTGTTTTGCTTCATGTGACTTGCCTTGTGTGACTTGTCACATCTGACCTGTTCCAGTGAACCAGGTTTGAGCTCTCAATATCCTTCAGTCAGAAGCTGGAAAAGTTCACTAATAGCCAAGCAGGAAAGGTTCAGAGGAAAGAGTTTTCTGCACAGGGCTTCTAACCAGAAAATAATTTCTAATGAACCGTTCTTAATTCATGGAGGCACACTGCTCTTGGAACAAAGTGGAATCCAATATTGAGAATATTGGTGTTTTCACAGTTTGACTTGGGGAGGTTGCTTCTTCTGAACTTCAAAGGTTCTCTATTGGTCTATGACTGGGGATAAGAGGTGAAAGAAAGCATCCATAAACTTGTCATAAAAATTAAGCAATGCAACCAAAATATTATACTCAGGAGTGGTAAAAAAAAAGGTGCCACTATGATTTTTTTTAAATAAAGAAAATGAAGGTTGCCAGTTACCATGTTCTCAGATGTGTTAATTTCGTTACCAGTAGCCAAATTGTGGCATTCCAATTATCTGACTCTAAAAAAATAATCTTAATTAGAAGTGAACCTTGCCTATGAAACCAATTTCAAAGATAATATTTAAGAAAGTACCAATGGTTGTGGGGTGGGATGAGTGGTGTAGGAAAATAGAAACAAAATCATTACTTGTGTCTATATTTCGGAAGAATGTTTGGAATATGTGAAACCCCATGGCTAAATAAGGGCTTGTTAAATTTCTGTTTCTCAGATTTATGCCTTGCATCTTAAAAAACAGATTATTTATCAATGCATATCATATTTGCATTGTCTATTAATAAAATAATGATCTAAGCAGTAACCAAATTTAAGCTCTTTGATTCTGATCCTTCCTTCACTCCCTGTTCAATTGTTGCAGGTATGATACAGTTAAAGTGAAGCACAGTCATTTCTACTTAATTCAGTTAAGTACAATTTCAGTGTCTCCTTTTGTATTATTTGGGGTTATAAAAGGTTGGAAAGAAGAAACATCCCAAGGGTCAAAAGTATATTTCTTCTGCAGTTAGGTTCACATTTCTTTTGGTAACCTGTATGCCCTAGGTGACAAGTATGTAGAAAATATTAGCAGTGGCTTGCTGCCAATATGCAATATGCATTTGTACTAGCATAGCTTTCTTAAAGGCTTGCTACATTAACATGCAATTAGAAGTCAATATCATATTTATCTGGTCAGAATGGGAGCCAAAGGTTGAAGTGCTCCCATCCCTGAGGACATCTGTGGTCCTGCAAAGTCACCCTGCAATTGTCTTTTCCTGTTGCTCACCTCACATTTCCAGTAGGATGAGCTTCAGGAGCCTCTAATAGAACATCAGGTATTGACAACTAACCATTATATGGCTTGATATGGGTCAGACACAGCTCTATGGAAGCATTTACCAGCTTGTATGTAAAGTTAAATGGGGGGTGGAAGGGGGACACATGTCAGCCCAACTTGAATGTCAGCATGTGCCTGCCTACTACATTCCAGATCATGCTTTGTTGAGCATTAAGGACTTTATGAAGCTTTGATTGGGTTTAGTTGAATGTGCTTGTAGAACTCCTGGGAGCAAGAGCCAAGTCTTATGAGGGTTGCTCATCATAGAAGCTTTGTCAACCAAATGTAGTTATAGAGGTCTAAACACTACAGAGTAGACCTTTATAAACGGTACACAAGAGCCTGGGATTCTGCCAGGTAAGTGGCAATGCTGGGGAGGTGAAGGTACTTACACTGGGTGGTGGCATCTTGGTTCTTAGTTTAGCCCCAAGTTTGAAGAGATGAACAACAGTCTGGGAAAAAGTGATAAATCTCCGTCCATATTGAAACATCTGGTGAATAGAGTCCAGAGACAAAAATCCTTGATTATTTTGTCCTTACACACAGTTGGATAATTACTGAAGTTGTTTTCATCCTGTAGGAAAAAAAAGAATATTTCTCTAAGTGTTCTTCTCATATTCAAGTGTCTCTTGATGTAAACAGACAAACAAACAAACATGTTTCTGAGCAGAAATGAGTTTCCTGCCTTTAATTTTTTTCAGAAAAATAAACATCAAGGGAATTCCTTTGTAGACTCATTTATCTACTAAAATCATACCAATAAAAGCTGACAAGTTTGGCATGAAGGCATACAACAGCAACAGCTCCAGCAGTGGCAGCAGCATTACTATATTATTGCTAACTTTTAATTAAGATCAACAACTATAGTGAAAGCATATGAAAAGTCTTCATCAGAAACAAAGAAAGTATTGGCAACATTAAAATATCTGAAACATGCAATTAAAACTGTAAAAAAAACATTTACAAAACAGTAATGCCTTCATATTAAAGTGCCCTCTTCAAACCCCTTTCTTTAAAAACCTTCAGTTCTTAAAAGCCCATTGACAAAAAGAGAGCAAGAAGGGAGCTACTCTAGTCTTCCTGGTTATTTCACAGGTAGAATGAATGGGTGGGGTGGGGTGAATAGAGGAAAATGGGGGAAAGCCTTCTTACATATGGGGACCCAACCTACCCCTGCAAGGTCCATCTTCAGGGATGGCCAGCCATCCTACAACATTTCCCTGTCTTCTGGCTTTCCTTTGCTTCCTGCCGCAGTCTTCAATCAGGAGTAAGGAAACACCTGCCGACACCTGAAAATGAAGGCTTCTGGCTGTATTCACATGCTGTCAAGATGGATTTCCACAGACAGCCACTAATCGTGGCTGTGCTTCATGAGGTGGATTCTGTGTAACTCTGTTTTGCCAGCATACAAAAGTGTAACTCTGTTTTGTGTAACTCTGTTTTGCCAGTGTACAAAGGTGATAGGAAAATGGGGGGGGGGGGGAGAGAGGGAGAGATTAGGATGAGATAATGAATTAGGATGAGAGAAGGAATTCCAAAATCACGGGGAAGCCACAAATTGGGCCTTGTCTCCTCATCAAATGTGTCTATGAAGGTGGTGGGACCAAGTCAAGCAGGCAGAATTGAACCATAAGGGATAGGTAGGATAGTTCCTTAAAAGTAAGATTGTTCTTATAATAATTCGGCCTCCTGGTATCAAATGTGAAAAGTTTATGACCACAATCCTCTTCAAGTAGTAGCTTTTTTGCATGCTCTTTAATCTAGCTTCTTTGGTTTTTGCTGTCCTGAAATGTCAATGAAAACTACTTTTAAAAACTTTATGCAGTTCCTAACTGTCAGTGGTGCTAATTTTCTGGATTTGTATTTTAAAATAACTAAGAAAAGAACAATGAGGTCCATATATTGAGAGAAAAGATGTCATAAATCATGAAAAGAAATTATAATAAGAATAGAAGAATTTGTATACTTAATATAATTGAAGAAAAATTATGGGAGGGTGGAATTCTGATAGACAAGAGATGACTGCTACTACAATGCTATGGTAAGTGATCATTCAGATGATCTCTGGTGAAAGAGAAGTGGGCTGAGGATGCTTCCATGACAATAGTTCCCATAACAACAAAATTAGAGTTCTCCCAATTAACATTTCCTAAGATTAAGTCCTACACAATTGCCATACCATTGCTGACAACAAGATAAAGAGAAATAAACTGATTCTAATGATTTCATTGCTTTTGTCGTTGATGAGGTTTGACTTTTTTTCAGATATGGGCATGCGGACAGTGTTATCTAGTTCTTCCTCCATCATTGTGGGATTGCTGGAGACAATTAAATGAAAGATAGCCTTGATGTTAAATTTAAATTTAATGCATAGATATCCCTGTATAAAATAGTAGAAATTCTATATTCTGACTTTGCTCAGGCTAAAACAGTGTAGATGCACTAATGCAGAAAGGTGCAATGCTGAACACTCAAAAACTGGTATTCCCTACATCAACATGATTGTAACAAAACAGCGGGCTCTCTTGATAAAGTCCTGAGATAGTGAAAGTGGCTCACATCAAGTCCTCTTGTATTATATCTGTCTTCACATTCCCTTGGAAACTTTGCCAGGCCCTTTTCTTTGGATGTCTAAATTATTTCCAAATGTTCAACTAACAGGTTAAGTTACTGCAATGATTAAAATTTGGGAAATTTCAATCATTGCAGGAAAATTTATTAGGGACTCAGAATATTTGCTGGGGAGCAATCTTTTCATTTCCCTCCATCCACCTTAAACTGCATCAGATCTTCTCAGATTTTGGTTGGATGCACTAAATTAAGTCAGCATCACTCTATCTGCCCTTGAGCAGTATGTCCATATAGGTCTGCATATAGAAATAGAGCAGAGAAAAGGACAAGGCTTCAAGCAAGGTCATTTTAAATGTCCAAAGCATGTAACCAAGCATGGAATTTTTTCTTTACTATAGAATTAACACTAAGTGTTCAAATAGGCAATATAAATATCATCTTCACTTAATATCATGGCCATATATTAGCAAATAATATGGCAACTTGTTGTCTTCAGTATCAGAGGCAGTATGCCTCTTTGTAATAGTTGCTAGGGAGCATGCATTGCAAGATACTATTGAATTCATATTGCAAGCTCCACATAGAAACTGCTTGGCTACTGTGCAAGCAAAATGCTGCATTTGCTCTTTGGTCTCATCCAGCATGGCATTTCTCAAAGAATCACAGAGTTTGAAGAGACTACAAGGGCCATCCAGCCCAACCCCATGCATTGCATATTTGTTCAGGAAGTATAGTTATGTAAAATGTCTAAAAATTTGCATGGAAATATTTATGCATCAAATTTCCATTTCAAGATCTTTCACTTATTTTCCCCCAACAACACCACAGTGAATATTGTCTATCAGTATAGACATCAATCAATATTTATGCATTATTTCCCCCTCTTTCTTTCTAATTCATTAACTATTTAAAACTATGTTACCCCTTTTAGAAATTAATTAAGACTGGCTTGAAATCAATTTCAAAAAATGGTATAGCAAGGAAAATGGGTTACATAAGAAAGGATCAGAATAAAAGCAAGCTTTCTTCAAAACTCGGTTCTATCAACAGGCTGTGTTTCATGATAGCTGAAATTATGATCTAATATTACATTTAAGAGACACAGGTATCTAATGTATTTCAGATTGCGTTCCAATGTGCTGGTGTTTCTGTTATTTATAGGTGTGTTCTACCACACACACAGTGATTGCCTTCTGTGATGAATTGGGACTTCTGAACCTGAGCGCGATATAGCTTTTCCGATCAGATTTGTTTTAGTATGATATCAGATGAGAGATATTAACACCTCTTTGGTTTATGGAAGTTTGTTAACCCTGACAGGATTTACCTCAAGGGAAAATAGTGGAGGAAATGACCACAATTTCACTCCCAAGCTTATAATCTTCTCATGACTTAGCCCATCCAAACTGATTTCTATTACATGGTCCACTGACCTGAAGGAGACCTTAAGTTAACCTTGAGTTTGGGATGGCAGACAAAGCAGTTAATCATGCACAGAAGGCTCAACTGAGGAGGTTGTGAAAACCAGAGAGGGATGAGCAACAAAGGGACTTATTAAATGGTGCAATTTCACTACTGTCTAGGTAACAAAATATATAGGCTCTGTACATACACATATTTAATAACTTTCTACTCACCTCTTCCACAGAACACTGCACACATAATAGTCAAGTCAGACTGCTAGTGAGACCCTGAAAACTTAATTGACAGGTAAACAGACAGCCTGGAGCTGAAAGTCCTTAGGTCAAGAAGAACAGCTTGTAACCTATCGATACAATGTGGTTTAAAATTACATTAAGTATTTGTGTTAAATTCATTAGGTGAAGTCTCTAGGGCATTGTGAAATGCTGAATGGAGCCATTATGAAACTACACTATAAGCTCTTTGTCCACCTTCATGCTCCATCTACAAGAGACTGATACATGTTATAGTAATGATTGCTCATTTTTCTTGCACTGTGTTTTGGAATCTCCCCTCCACTAAAACTGCAATGCTAAAACTCATTTTTAGATTTTAATCTTCTTTTGGAATAGAATTTTGATTGCTTACTAACATTTAATTTAAGCTAACTGAGGTTAAGGCAAATAGGACCAAGCTTAGATCCAGAGATAAAGTGCATAGAACTCTCCTTTCCCTTCTCCTTTGTTTTTGGACATTGATGGTGACCAAAGCAGTGTGAAAGAAGAAACTGCAGGTGCTTCAAGACAGCACTAAATCATGAGTTTTAGCGAGGGACAAAAAATCCCGGGACTTCAGGAGAGGTCCACATACAGACCTGTTGGTTCCAGGATTTCTGCCTTCATTGTCCAGACTTGATATTTTGTTCTGAGATTTAGAGGCTCCCAAGATGGCCACCACAGAACTTCTATTGGAAACTGGCAGTTTTTAAAAACCCACAAGATGCAGATATGTGGAGATTGGGTTATGCGGATCACCACAAAAGCTTCGTTCAATGTGCAGGCCAGAGAAACTGTGCCCTCCACACATTTTATAAAGTTTCTAGTGCACAAAGTTTATGAGGTAGAACTACTTCTGTCCAATTCAGCACTACACAATGAAACAGAAACACACAGTTTTAATCCAGGACAAAACTATATTTAGAGCCTGGCTACCTGGCCATCTGTCCAAACAGATTTGGTTCTGTACTTGTGGTATCAAATAACAGGGTGCTGTTCGTAGGTTATACATCATCGATCCTGATTGCTCTTCTTGTGAAAAATGTACAACATTGACTAAGGGGGTACAAATTTGTCCAGAGAAAATGTGCCCTCCACATGTTTCATGACATTTCTGGTACACAAACGTTTTTGCCTTCTACTCAAGTGTAACCTTCTTTTTAGCAACCAGCATCTAAAATCCAGGAACAAAAAATCCCATGATTTCCGATTGCAGGGATGTACAGACATGTAAAGATCTAGATATTAGGCTCAAAGCCGCAATATTCCTGCACCTGGAAATCTTACGTTCTTTGCCTTTTGTAGCAATTGCTTCTGGGTTTACAGGAAATGGCATCTGGCCACTCTCCTGTTTGCTGCAGAAGCTTTTGGGATAAAGGTACTGTCTGGATGGGTCCTGAGTTTACTTAGGCAATAACTATTAGCTACCAATTAAAAAACCCTATAAAGGGAGGAGCACCTATGTAAAAACTGGGGCCTAAAGAAAGTAATGATGAAGAAATGTCCATTTCAATGTGACTCCAGCAAAATTTTATAAGGAGTTGTGGATTTTCTTTACAGGACCACACTGATACAAATGCAGGGGGACTCTACATGGGTCCATTCACACTATGTTGTGACTCAGCTGGAACCACAGACACAGACTGATAGTGTTGTGACTCAGATCGGGTCTCTAGTGACTCTGACGAGAATGATGGGATTCAGGTTCACAATCAGGTTCAAAATGTTTCTGTTGTAGACAATGAGGAACAGGGTGTGCAAGCTCAATTTCCCACAGCAGGGAATGATGTTTTTGGTACTGAAACTAGCCAGGTGCAAATTGACTCAGAAAAGGAAGACAGTTCTCAGCCTGATAGTAGGCAGGAAGGCAACAAGGCTGACACTAATGAGCAGCCTGACCTTGATGAAACGGGAATCTTATATCGGGCTGACCATTTGGAATTCAGAGTTCGAAGGAGTGTGAGAAGGTCAGAGGCCAAAGAAATGCTTTCATGTGTTGCAAAGGGTATTAAGCAGTGTGTTTGAAAACAAACCTTTGTCAGAGCAACTTCTCGCTCAACCAAGCAGCTTGTGCTAATTTTCCTGTGTCCATGATCTTGGGATTTTGTCATGTTTTTATGGGACTTTGTTTCATTGGTGCCATTTGGAATTCTGCTTTACAGTGCTATGTTTTATTGAACTTT